CGAACGACATCACCAAGAACTCAAAGTGCCCATATCTTGTCCGAAAGGCCGTCTTTGGAATATACTTCTCCCTAACCCTCACCCGATGATACCCCGAATGTAAGTCAATCATGGAGAAATACTTCGCACCCTGGAGTTGGTCAAACGGGTCGTCAATCCTTGGAAGTGGATACTTGTTCTTTATAGTAAACTTATTTAACTTTCGACAGTCGATACACATCCTTAATGACCCATCTTTCTTCCGCGCGAACAAGACTGGCGCACCTAAGGTGAAGTGCTAGGCCTAATGAAACCCTTATCCGGCAAGTCGTTCAACTGCGCCTTCAACTCTCGCAACTCTGTCGGGGCTATCCTGTATTGAGGGATAGAGATTGGTTAAGTGTCAGGCAATGCATCAATGCTAAACTCAATCTCCCTTTCAGGAGGAAGGCTTGGGAGTTCATCTGGGAAAACATCTGGAAATTAATTGACCACAGGGATTGATTGTAGAGTAGGAGGCTTCGCCTCCGCATCCCTAACGTGAACTAGATGATAAATGTAACATTTTGAGATCATCTTCCTTGCCTTAAGATAGGAAATAAGCCTACCTTTCGGCGTAGAAATGTTCCCCTTCCATTCAACGGGTCTTAAAACGCTTTTACATAGACAAAGCGCACCCATTGAGTACACCAATGGTTGTTCGATCGCTTGAAGTAAATAAAAATTTGTTCCGACCTCTAGAAGAGGATGAGGAACTCCTTGGTCCCGAAGTACCCTATCTCGGTGCAATTGGTGCACTAATGTATCTTGCTAATGCTACAAGGACTGACATAGCATTTTCTGTTAATTTACTAACAAGATATAGTTCTTCTCCTACACGGAGACATTGGAACGGGATTAAGCATATATTGCGATATTTAAAGGGAACTCTTGATACGGGTTTGTTTTATGCTAACAAAGACAATGTAGATCTTGTTGGTTATGCAAATGCAGGTTATTTATCTGATCCCCATAAAGCTAGATCTTAAACCGGGTACGTTTTTACATGTGGAGGTACTATCGTATCATGACACTCCACAAAGCAATCTATTGTTGCTACTTCTTCAAATCAAGCCGAAATAATAGCTATTCATGAAGCAAGTAGTGAATGCGTATGGTTGAGATCAACAATTCATTTTATTCGAGAAAATGTGGTTTGAAATGTGAGAAAAAACCCACAATTTTATACGAAGACAATGCTGCATGTATAGCCCAATTGAAGGGAGGATTTATAAAAGGAGATAGAACGAAGCACATTTCACCAAAATTATTATACACACATAATCTTCAGAAAAATGGTGACATTGATGTGCAACAAATCTGTTCAAGTGATAATCAGGCAGATTTATTCACTAAATCTTTACCAACTTCAACTTTTGAGAAGATGTTATACAAGATTGGAATGCAGAGACTTAAATATTTGAAACAAGGTTTTCATCAGGGGGAGTAAAATACGCGATGTACTCTTTTTTTTCTTACTAAGGTTTTTTCCCACAGGCCTTTCCTTATAAGGTTTTTAATGAGACAGCTAGCAATGCGTATTACTAAATATGTGTACTCTTTTTCTTTCACTAGGATTTTTTCCCATAGGGTTTTTTCCTAGTAAGGTTTTAATGAGGCATATTATCTTTTAATGAATATTTTATAAATATATTATATTATGGATGTTCATTTAGTACTCCGTTGTAAATAAGCTTCCTGAAGAAACTTATCCATACGAGACTCCGCCGTAAATATGTTTATCTATTTAGTACTCCATTGGAAATAAACCTCCTCAAGAAGCTTATCCTTTCAATACTCCGTTATGGATAAATATTGCCCATGGTAGAAGATTATCTATATCTGGCACAACAACTTAGAGTAGGAGCTTACAAGCAGCTTACACAGCAGCTTGCAGTAACAGCTTACACAACAGCTTCCTTTCTTCTATATATAGAGGAGAGTTCAGTTCATTATGCACATAAGTTTGAAGTTTGAATAATATACCAGTTTCTCTCTATACTTGTCTTTACTTTATTGTCTTTATTTTATAACAATAAGTTCGTTATTTTTGGATGAAAAAAACATGGTCGGGATGCTTTTAATTTGTTTCACCCGTAAGTGTTGTCGATGTGACATAACGTAGGAATATTTAACGACATAGGTAAAATGAATATTAATATCAAATCTTGTCATTCATCAAATTTAAACAATAGAACAACATATATAAATTTAATTAATTTGTTAAAACGTGTGAATAATTTAACATATATAAAATCTTGGAGTTCTGGTAAAATTTGTGAATAACTAAACAATAGTACAACACATGCAAGTTTGCTAATCTAGAGAGCATAGATAACAACAATATACCAAGTGAAATTTCACAAGTGAGGCGTGGAGAGGGTAATATGCACGCAAGCATTATTTATCTTATAAGTTAGAAAAATTATTTTCGATAGACCTTCGGCTCAAGAACAGTGAAAGAAAGCAATAACCAGTTAATAGCAGCAATAAAGTAAAATGCAGAGGAAGTAAATGGCAAAATATGTAATAACCAAGATTAAGGCATACGAGAATACAAGATTAGTGCCAACTATTAGTAATAGTGACGCATCGTGTAGTAACAAGAAATTAGGAATAGGAAAATATAAAACTAGTGCTAATACTACTAGTAGAACAAAGAAACTCTTGATTACATGTAACGTACAATCTTAATTCTAGACTTATACAATTTTCTATCGAGGGTTATGTATAAGGTAGGTTGAAGTAGTGTGATATCCTGTCTAATCACATGTCTTGTTACTTCTTAGCCTTGCTCTACTCCTTTGACCCGCTACGATCAACCTCCTGACCGGGACATCTAATCACATCTCTCGTTACTTCTTAGCCTTGCTCTACTCCTTTGACCCGCTACGATCAACCTCCTGACCGGGACATCTAATCACATCTCTCGTTACTTCTTAGCCTTGCTCTACTCCTTTGACCCGCTACGATCAACCTCCTGACCGGGACATCGGAGTCTCTCGGCCTCGATTTTCGCAACATGTCTTCCGGGCTTCATGCCCACCTTGCCCCTTAATCTAGAGAACATGTGAATAATAATCTCACAAGACCCCCAAAGTCTATTATTGCACAAATTTGTTAAAAAGAGAACAAAAGTTAAACAACGGCGCAAAAACATCCTATTTGTGCAAATCTCCCCAACTCTTTTGCTTTGTTCACGAATTCAACTCGACAGTGGCGGGTCGGACGGGCAACCCACGATAAAAAAAATTGGATCTTTTTCAGCCAAAAATGACACCACTCTCCCGCGACTCCGTCCTGTTCTCCGGCGAAATTCACCAGTAAGTTCCATCTCTATCTCTTCCGTTTCCCCTCTTCTTAGATTTCCCGACACAAAATCCCTAATCCCTTTCTCCAGTGAAATTTTTTAAATTGTAAACTATGGAATTTTGAATCGGGACGCAGGCTTCTTTCTGTTTAAAAATCCTATCTTTAGACTGAAAATCCGATCTTTCGTTATTTGTGATCGTTATAAGTATGTTATGTGCTTTCCACGTCACTATGTTCAAATTTTCTGAGTTTAAAACTGAATTGTATGTTATATTGTACAACGTAGACTATATACTGTACCAAAATCTTAGCTGGAAGCAAATTTCTGAGCAAAACTAGGTGCAAGTTGTGCTATATAAGCAATGGAATCAACTGTTGCTATGGGGAACAGTAACGTGGAGCCTCGAGATGATATGGAATTTGATTCTCATGATGCAGCCTATGAATTCTATAAAGAATATGCGAAATCAGCCGGGTTTGGTACCGCCAAATTGAGTAGTCGTCGTTCTAGGGCATCCAAAGAGTTTATTGATGCAAAGTTTTCATGCATAAGATATGGAAACAAGCAGCAGTCTGATGATGCAATCAACCCTAGGCCTTCTCCGAAAATAGGTTGTAAAGCTAGTATGCACGTGAAGAGAAGGTCGTCGAATGGGAAGTGGTACATTCATAGTTTCGTAAAAGAACATAACCATGAGCTTTTACCAGCTCAAGTGCACTTTTTCAGAAGCCACAGGAATGTTGATCCGCTTAAGAATGACGCAAAAGTTCGAAGGAAAAAGATGTTGGCTTCTGTATCAAAACAGTACGGGGCATACCAATTCTCTGGTAACCTGGAAAATCTTTTCAGGAATCAACATGACAGAGGTCGAAGTTTGACTTTAGAAGAAGGAGGTGCGCAGGTCTTGCTTGAATTTCTTGTGCAAATGCAGGAAGAGAATCCAAAATTTTTCTATTCTGTAGACTTAAATGAGGAGCATCGATTGAGGAATGTTTTCTGGATTGACGCCAAAGGCATGGATAATTATTCCAATTTTGGTGACGTGGTGTCATTTGATACTACATACTTCACAAACAAATATAAAATACCTTTGGTTCTCTTCATTGGAGCAAACCATCACGTTCAACCCACCTTACTAGGTTGTGCACTAATTGCTGATGAGACAGTGCATACGTTCATATGGTTGATGCGGACATGGTGTTTGGCAATGGGTGGACGAGGTCCAAGAATTTTGTTGTCTGATCAAAACGACAACATCAAAGCAGCTGTTGGAGCAATCTTTCCGGACACCGGGCACTACTTTAGCCTGTGGAGTATATTGGAGAAGATCCCAAGGCGTCTTGAATATCTCAGTCTGTGGCATGATGCATTTATGGCAAAGTTTACTAAGTGCATATATAGATCATGGACTGAAGAGCAATTTGAACACAGATGGTGGAAGTTGATCGAAAAGTTCAATCTTAGAGAGGACGAGTGGGTCCAATCATTATATGAAAATCGCAAGCTTTGGGTGCCTGCTTTTATGAGGGATGTATCTTTTGCCAGTTTATCCACGGCTTCAAGATCCGAAAGCATGAACTCTTTCTTTGACAAATATATCCAGAGTGAAACGTCTCTTAGAGACTTTATTGGACAACATAAGCTAATCCTTGAAGACTGGTATGAAGAGGAAGCCAAAGCTAATTTTGATGCATGGCATGAGATGCCTGAGCTTAAGTCTCCCTCGCCCTTCGAAAAACAGATGTTGCTCATATATACTCGTGAAATATTCAAGAAGTTCCAAGTTGAAGTATTAGGAGCTGCTGCATGCCATCTAAAAAAAGAATCAGAAGACGGCACATCTATAACATATGCTGTCAAAGATTTTGACGCAAATCAGGACTTCATGGTGGAGTGGGATGCACTGAGGTCGGACATATACTGCTCATGCCATTCATTTGAGTACAAAGGTTACCTTTGTAGACATGCTATTGTGGTTCTTCAAATGTCTGGTGTCTTCAATATTCCGTCTAAGTATATATTGCAGCGCTGGACCAATGCTGCCATGAGCAGGCATTCCATAAGTGAAAGAATGGAAGATGTGCAAGCTAAAGTCCGTCGCTACAATGATTTGTGCCGACGGGCAATAATATTGGGTGAAGAGGGATCACTGACTCAGGAAAGTTACAACATTGCTGTTGGTGCCATTAAAGAAGCCTTAAAACAATGTGCAACTGTTAATGTCACTTGTGAGACTAATCTTAGATCAGGCAGTTGTGCTACCCTTGCTATCCAAGGTGTTAATGAAGTATGTCAAGGAAACAGTCTTGCAGCTAGAGAGCTAATGCCTTACAGTAGAGCGGCCCAGACAAGCAAGGGTTCTAAAAGAGCAGATCCTGGAAAAGAAAGGGAAAGCATTGACAACGCTTCTAATAAAAAAGGAAAGGTTAGAAACTTTTATCTTATATGTCGTTTTCTTTATTTATTCTTCTCAACCACATGCTCACCCTAAGATGAGCTTCTCTTACAAGTGTGTTTCATTCTTATCAGGTGACTTTGGAGCCAGAAATTCCTAATGGTGCACAAGGGGTCTTTCACCAAATGGTTTGTTATGCTAGCACCTTCTCTAATTTAATGAATAATCCTGCTTTTAAGCAAGTTCATATTGTGAACCTTCTGGGACAATTAGAAATTGGTGATGCAACCATAATTGTTTATTCTTTTCTGTAATCCGTCTTTTTGGTTTTTTATTCACATCTTATATAAAAAAAAATGGTGACAGGAATTCTTTTACCAAAATTTCCTGACAGGAGCTCCTGGAAAAGTTTATTTTGAACATATATCTGATGCACCTAATAGTTGACGAGCTAGAAGGTACAACTAGAGGTTCTGTTTTAGAATGATAATGTCAAATTGATATTAATGTTGTCGTCTTGGCAGACATGATTATTCTATCTTTGTGTGTACGTGTGGAGTACAGCTATCCACTGGACAATGACTAGAATTAAACTAGAGGCTTTTGTAATCCACTGCAAAAAAAAAAAGGTCAGAAAAAGCATGCATTTCTTTTCCAGGTTCCAATTGTCTTGTTGATTTGCAATCAAACATCTGTTGCCTGTAATTCCTTTTCTGCTCATCTTAGTGGCTGGAACTGCCCAGTGTTTGGTCAAGGCAGTTGCATAATATGGTGCTGGCTCACTTGTTTCATATTGCACCAACAATGTCTCGTAACATGACATGAATGTAGTTCATAATGTGCATGACATTAGGTAGTTGTACTTGTAGAAACGGTTAGACTTCCTGTATAAAGTTTGTACCAGTATGTGTACTTTTGGTCCTGGAAATAAGCAGGCTAAGTTTTGTTTTTTCTTCTTGTTTTCACTTATGACCTACAGTCTCATTATGCTTTTTGCACGACGTGCATTGATATTTGAGTTTTTGTTTGTGTAGGATATGCCTGGTAGCCTGGATTATCCTACCTTGTACCCCAGATTAACAACACTGTTAAGAGGTGGTGACATTAACAAAAGAAGTGTGGAATTGCTTGGAGAGATGTTGGAGTAACAAAAATTAAGGGTCATATATCATGGATTGGTGGAGGAACAATTTGTGTTTTTTAATTGGGTGTTCCTCTCAAAGTAGAAAAGGTATTATATTGTTAAAAAAGATCTCATACTGTTTTCAGCTCTTAAACCATTTTAATAACCTGCTGCTGACTTCATCACTAATCATAAGATGCAGGATCGGAAGATTGAAGAAATGAGATGCTTAATGCACGGGCGGGCATCTGCAATTACACAATTAAATATGTCAAATGTGAAAGTAATTAGCTTTAATAATCTCCAAGCCCCGAGATTCCCTGTTTTTTGGTGTTGCAGCGTGAAAGGCTCTGCAACTATGTGAAAATGGTAAGGAGGAAACTGGGGTTGGGGGTGGGTTGTTATAATGTTAATGTTGCTTTGGAGTTATAATCTTCAGTCTTGTTGAGCTTATCAACTCATACTAGATCCAAGTTTGGCAAGGAAGGTTGGCTCGAGGTGAGATTTTCTTCTTCAAGAAGACTGACCCACAGCTTCTTTGTTAGCAGTTTCAGATACATATTCCCTGGGCGCTAGGCGATGTATTTGTGGGTTTAGCTTCCCCTCCTATTGTCTATGTATAGTGAGGTCATGTAGTTGATTCCAACTAGTTCGGGATCGAGGCATAGGTGGTGGTGGTGGTGTTCTTATTGGTTTGTTGCAGGTTATGGATAGGTGAAGGTTTCAATGAGGGAAGAATTCAAGTTAATATACATTGACAGTGTAAATTGCAAAGATTTCTTACTTTTATTGGCGAATTTTAACTTGTGATAGATACCATGTTAGGGGTNATATATATATATATATATATATATTTTGGAACCCCAGGAAAACCTGCAGCCGCTACAGCCTCTGTCCTTCGGGTGAGCACTCTGTGGTGAGCAATTCGTGCGCACCGGGTAAACTCCCCACTGTGTAATAGTCTGCAAACCACACGTGGGATGTAAACCGCGCTAGGCAAGCCCTGTGCGACAGGCTCTCCCAGAAGGCATTGAAGGGGATCGATCCCAGGTCACCTGTGATAACCGCCCTCCAAACCAACTGGGCCATCCTGAAGGGATGTTGTTGATAGATACCATGTTAATTTTCTTACCAGGTCACAATTAACCTGGTTGTGTAAATATTGTTTATTGTTATGAAAATAATTATATTATGGATGTTCATTTATTACTCCGCTATAGATAATCTTCCTGAAGAAGATTATTCGTTTGGTACTCTAGTGAAGTTTATCTACAAGCATTTGATGCAGGCAGGTTGCAAACAACTTAATGAAATGATTTGCAGCAGCTTCTTATTAAACAAGCAGGTTGCAAGCAGCTCAAGAAAATCCTCACAACTGCTTCCTGAAAAGCCTCGCAGCTGCTTTGTTTCTTCTATAAATAGAGGAGTTTTCAGTTGATGTACATCAGTTTGAAGTTGAATAAAAATATCACTCTCCCTCTATACTTGTCTTTGATTTATTTACTTTACAGTCTTTATTTTATAACACGTTATCAGCACGAGACTCTACCATCTCGAGCAAATACTCCAAGGTACGAAGTTTCTTTTTCTAAATATATGTTTATCATGCGTGTTCATCATGTCTTTCTAGCCAACTAATGATGGAGATGTCATTTTACTTGGATGCGGTTTCGCAAAATTTGAAAGAAAATTTGATTTTACTTAAGCTATTATATGGTCGCGAGACTACACATAAAGTTTATGTGGCAAACGGTTGGGGACTATGTATACTTATACAATTGCTATTTTTGTACTTATTTTCCTCCTTGAGCGTTTAGTGAAGGATTAAAAGGTGAATAACAATGTCAGATCCATCTAAACTCCAGCAGAGTTTATGAGAAATGTATAATTACCAACAGTGGTAATATTTCATAAGTCTCGTTATGACTTAACTTCATGGTTCACTTGAACTCCAGCAGAGTACGGCCACCAGAAGCGGTTATGTTTCATATATCTCATTGTAACTAAATTTTGATAACCACCAGAAGTGATAATTTAGGCTTGCTATGGTTACAATGAAGATAAGTTAGAGAAAATTCTCTATATTATATGCATATTTCGATTTGCTTCTGAAGTAGCAAATATCTTAAAAAAGGTTCGAAGTATCACAATTTGATGTGATTATGCACGTTCAGATAATTATGTTCTATCTCCTAAATGAAGAGAACTTTTGATAATATTAATCCATTTTTTGAAGTGAATGTGACTATTAAATATGAACGCGTTGTTGATGTAAATATATTACGATTCACCTCTAGAAGAGGTAATACGATTAAGAGAATATATTCTCAATATTTCATATTTCAAATTTCTCTTGAAGTAGTAAATAATTAAAATTTCCTCCTGAAGCAGAAAAATATTAAGTAGTGGTAAAAATATTAAAATTCTTAATTTTAGTCATTTATAAATTTAGAATTGTCTTTATATTGTTCATTTGATTATGATTTTCTCTCATGCCACCAGAAGTATTTGAGCAATACTTGGTAGTACAAAATTTATCAAAAGCTCCTGAAAAGTTAACTATTTATCTAGAAGACACATGACACCAGTAGTGTCCTATAAATATTAGATTGTGGATAATAAATGAAGGCTCTCGAAGAGCTTATATACAAATATGTCGTTCGTATTATATGATTATGATCAAAACATATGTTGTAGTAAACCTAAAGTTTACTAATACAAATGGCCATTATATTGAGACTGCAAATGACTGGAAGATTGAAAATCTTTATGTTTCCACAATCATAGGGGGTAAAATAATATGTATGTGAGAAGTTACCCGCATTATTCTTTAATTTGTACTACATCATGTATCACAGTAAACCAAAAGTTTACTAATGCAAAAGTTTATGCCATAGTAAACCAGAAGCTTACTAAGAGATAGCATATGCCATGATAAACTTGAAATTTTCATATGCCATTTTAAAATGAGCTATTTGAGAATTCAGATAAGCATATACTAAAGAACTAGAAGATTCTTCAAAAATTCTCTTGTGTTGCTTGTTCTCATAATAAATTGATTATACCAGCTAAAGTTGGGACTAAAACTAATGAATTCTGGAATATATACAAGGTGAATATGGGCCCATTCACCTATCATGTGAACCGCTTATAAATGTATATATGAGATGGTTACATGTGTCTTTATTGTCAACCTGCAGTTTGACATTTGAAATTGTCTTTCTCAATTAAGAGCATAATTTTCAGATTATGAAATCAAGATAGTTCATCTTGATGATGCTGGTTTAAATCCAAACTAGTTTAGCATTGAATACCTCATATTAATGTCCAAACTATTGCTTATAAGAACAAAGTTTCATGTGTTGGTCTAAGATTTTCTAAATTGCATACAACAACACTTGTATGCATCAGTCCAACAAAATATGATAAGTCTTCCCCTCACAATTAGTTTAGGATCAGAAACCAAAATTTTTTACTATCTAATAACTTTTGATATGTGGTATATGATTAATTTCTCTACCACAATGCACAAAGATAGGTTTCCCAAAGAAGATTTGGGATATGGGTTAGTTTTTCTAACATTAGGGGGATGGAATAAACAACTCGAAAATATGTTATATGAATCGAATTATCATTAATATGATCCTCACTTAGAATATAATTCAAGTCAAATTTCAGAAGCATTTGCTGATCCAAAATTAAATATCATATTTCAGCTGCAAATACTCCTATTAAAATTATAAGTCCCAGAAGGATAAAGTTTATTGCACGCATGAAGCGTAGTAAACCGATCGATTCCAAAGGTAACATTCCTTGAAAAATAATAGGAGAAAATGATCATAATGAGGAGGAAATGAGCTCTAGAAGAGCCCATGACATAACATTTCATGAAACTCCAAAAGAAGTTCAGGTACCTGAAAATAAAGAAAGTGATGAGATCTGAACAAGTTATGTTGCTTAGGAACCGATACAAAATGATCGTCGACGATATATTTGATACAATATGGTGCACAATATTATAAAGACTGTGAGGATCAGACCTGTAGTCCAGACACCTGAAGATGTCATGCCATTTAGATGCAAGTCATAACCTATATGACTCATTTGATCAAATTTATATAAATATCCCTGAAGGATTTAAAATGCTTAAAGCATATAATTCAAAGTCTCGAGAAGTGTACTCAATTAGATTACAAAGATATTTGTACGGTTTAAATCAATCTGGGCGCATGTGATATAATCGCCTCACTGAATTGATGAATGAAGGTTATGTAAATGATGGCATTTGTCCATGCGTTTTTACAAAGAAAACAACATCATAGTTTGTTATACTTGTTGTTTATGTCAATGGCATAAATCTCATAGGAACTCCAGAAGAGCTCCAAAGGGAAAAACTTTGTCTTAGTCTACAAATTGAATATTTAGTAGACAAGATCTTTATCCATCAATTTGTCTATACATAAAAGGTCTTAAAACGCTTTTACATGGACAAAGCGCACTCATTAAGTACACCAAATGGGTGTTCGATTACATGAAGTGAATAAGGATCTGTTCTGACCTCCAGAAGAGGATGAGAAACTCCTTGGTCCTGAAATACCCTATCTCAATACAATTGGTGCACTTATGTATCTTGCTAATGCTAACAGAGGTGGTGCAGATCATATTGATTGTGCAGATACAGGTTATTTATCCGATCCCCATAAAGTTCGATCTCAAATCGGGTATGTGTTTACATGTGGAGGTACTGTCATATCACGACGCTTTACAAAACAATCTATTGATGCTACTTCTTCAAATCATGCTGAAATAATAGTTATTCATGAAGCAAGTATGGAATGTGTATGGTTGAGATCAGTGATTCATTTTATTCGAGAAAAATGTGGGTTGGAATATGATAAAAAACCTACAATATTATACGAAGATAATGCTACATGCATAGCCCAATTAAATGGAGGATTTATAAAAGGAGATAGAACGAAACACATTTCACTAAAATTATTCTACACACATGATCTTCAGAAAAACGATGACATCAATGTGCAACAAATCTGTTCAAGTGACAATCCAGAAGATTTGTTTACTAAATCTTTGTCAACTTTAACTTTTGAGAAGATGGTATACAAGATTGGAATGCGGTGACTCAAATATTTGAAACAAAGTTTTCATCAGGGGGAGTAAAATACGCGTTGTACGCTTTTTCCCTCACTAAGGTTTTTCCCAAAGGGTTTTCCTTATAAGGTTTTTAATGAGACAACTAGAAATGCGTATTACTAAATATGTGTACTATTTTTCCTTCACTAAGATTTTTTCTACTGGGTTTTTTTCTAGTAAAGTTTTAACGAGGCACAATATCTTTTAGTGAACATCCAAGGGAGAGTGTTATGAAAATAATTATATTATGGATGTCCATTTATTACTACGCTATAGACAATCTTCAGGAAGATTATTTGTTTGGTACTCTATTGAAGTTTATCTACAAGCAGCTGATGCATGGAGGTTGCAAGAACTTAATGAAATGATTTGCAACAGCTTCTTATTAAACATGCAGGTTGCAAGCAGCTCATGCAGACAGCTTACAAGCAACTCAAGAAAAGTCTCGCAGCTGTTTTCTTTCTTCTATAAATAGAGGAGTTTTCAGTACATCAGTTTGAAGTTGAATAAAAGTATCAATCTCCCTCTATACTTGGTTTCGATTTATTTACTTTATAGTCTTTATTTTATAACATTTATGGTGTTATTGTATAGAACTTAAAACTCTTCAAAGAAAAAGAATGTGTAAAGTCAATTTGTTACATTACTCCTGACTAATTGAACAAGGAAGCCAAAAAGGTTTTGCTCTGTAAAAAAAAGAAAAAAGAAAAGGAAAAAGAAAACTACATGGGGTTGCCAGTTATAGAAAGCTAAAGAGTTTTTATTTGATGGATTAATTCAAATGTCTCTGTAAAAACAGGGTGCGGTGTTCTGTTTGTTGATTAATTGAGATCTGAACCTGAATTAGGTAATTGGATGTGAGGTCCCTGTTAAATGATCAAATTGTTTGGTGATTTCGTTGATAAAAAAATGAAGAAATCTGAAATATCTTTTTATAAAGAAGAATAAACTGCTCCGATTATCCTAAAACAATAGCAGTAGTTATGAAATCGTTATCAAGTGAATAAAAAGCTCTTTTTCGAGATAGCACGTTCCTAGATCTGCCCAGAAATGTTAGCTGGATCGTTGTCAATACGGGAAAGATAAACTTTTTTTTAATCAACTTTCCAGAGTTTTTAATTTGAGAATCAGATGGAGTAAAGAGGCAATAGAAATTATCGAGTGGGGAATGAGGAAATTTATGAGAAATCAGTGGTAATTTTGTTAGAAGCTTCTGGTTGGTTTATAAAACAACAGCAACAACCCAGTATAATCTCACTAGTGGGGTCTGGAGAGGGTAGTGTGTACGCAGACCTTGCCCCTACCCTGGGGTAGAGAGGCTGTTTCCGATAGACCCTCGGCTCCCTCCCTCCAAGAACTCCCACCTTGCTCTTGGGATGACTCGAACTCACAATCTCTTGGTTGGAAGTAAAGGTTGCTTACTACTAGAACATCCCACTCTTGTTTGGTTGGTTTATAAAGATGTTGATAATTTCCCATAAATTGAGCCATGATTAAAAGAAAAGAGTGGAAATTTAAGTTAATTTTTATAAAGGAAAATTTAAGTTAATTAATCTATAAGACATCTCAACTTTTTGACGTGCCTAAAACATTTTTGACTATCAATTAAAAACTCTAAAAAAAAATTACTTCCCACTTTAATTTACAGGGTATAACAAAAAATTTAATGGTCTAACTAATTTGCTAAAACACGCCATCCATGTTCCTTTAAAGTTTGACTTTTTAAAGATGAACAAATATTAACGAAAATGGAGTAATTTGTCACATGCAGTGGCTTATTGAATTGTATACAGATTAAAGAAATAATCCTCTATTAAAGAAATAATCCTTTATTAAAGAAACTCGGTAATCCCACTTGTCTAGATAATTTTATCAGAAAACCTTAGTAAATATATGAATAAAAACGAAGTGGTGAAAGCCTAACAATTGAGACTTCACAACGTATCCAGTTATTCTTATTCTTATTTTTGATATATATATATATATACAAATAATTAATGAATGAGCTGTAGTGGTCTAAAATTAGGGATATGCTTATCTGGCGACCGGCGCCAATCATTGAACTCTGATAGAAATGGCTCAATACTTACATAATTATATATTTGTATGTATGTATACTCTAGAAGCATTTAACCGTAAATACTTATATGTATCGGATGTTTATACCAAATAATTACCTTATAGAATCAACAAATCAAAGTGAAAATGCACATCATTCAACCAAGGTTAAGTGTTACAAAGTGTACATATAAGACAATTGCTTATATTCACTGGCTTCGTGTAAATATATACCCATTGCGAATAAGTTTTTACAAATTTAACTAATATATCTTTACGATATAGTAATTTTTTTATACTATTAGTATTATCTTGACTTACTAAACATGTATTTACTTTTCCTAAATTATTAAATTATATTTTTTTAAAACAATTTTTCGTAGTTGCGTGTAACTTTATGTGATAGTATAAAAATATTATGCATTATCAATGTATACAACTTAACTAATGACAATTACATGATACATTATTGAAGGAGGCCGTCGCACTAATATGAGTTGGAAGCTGGAGCATTAGTTGCGTTGCAATGATTAATGAAACAGAACCAAATATCAGTAAACATGTGGGCATGTTACTGTGTGTTTGGATTAGTATACTTTTATATCAATAATAATAATACGCTGTCTAGTCCACTTTAACTGATTTTTTTATTTGTTTGTGATCCATAATATTTAATTTTTTTAGATATCAAGAAGGAATTAACTTTCTTTTTTCAAAGTTGTCACTGGAGTAAAGAGACTAGAAATAATTGTTGTATTTCCAATTAAAAATTTAAGATTAATATGGTCAATTTCATTGTTAATTAATGCTAAAAGGTAAATTTTTTAAAACATCCAAAAAATCAATTAAAACGGGCAGGAGGGAGTTGGCATTTGTCCACATGTCCCAATTACTAATTTTACTACTCAATTGCATTCTACCATTTTTTACATAGATGTGAAGTCAGATTTGAAGTTTATAAGTTCAAGATTCTAATTTTTTAAAATTATTGAATTTTAAATTAATAATTTGTATATATATTTGATGAATTTATTAAGACGAATATAAAAAATCGATCAACCTAAAACTTTAGCACCCATGCCTTTACACAAGCTTCCCAAATGCTTTTGATGCCTATGTACTCATTTACTCTTCTTATATACTATATACTACAAAAGAGATGCCTTATGCTCCCATTGACCTTTATTATCAAAAGCACCTTATAACTAACTTCACGTGGTCCTCGAAGCTTTTCGACTTTGAACAGAATTCCAGAGTTTAAATTAATAAATGTAAAATATTATTACTTCAATATTTTACTTAAAATAATTTTAATCATATACATAGTTCAAGTGACTAAACCTCTTTTGAGTTGTGTATTTAGCTGTTTATGCCCCTCTTTTTCTGCAAACCAGACAACCCTTCATCCCCAGAATAAACAATAAACAAATGACCAAAAAGAAAGGCAAACGACAAATCTTGGAAAATGAGGGGGAAAGTTTTCCTACTCCAAAATACAACAACACATGTAAACTATTTCTCACCGACAGCTCCACCCTATTTCCGACATTAAACTAATCTACATAACTGAACCTGCCCTCTGCTGACCTTATATTTTACGGCATCTACAGATTTTGACAATAGTATATAAATTAAAACAGCTGTGATTTGGTGTGCAGGCATCTCTCCCCCCCCCCCCC